TACACCGAACGGCCACTTTATTAGGTACACCTGTCCAACTGCTCAGTAACGCAAATTTCTAATCAGCCAATCACATGGCAGCAGCTCAGTGCATTTCGGCATGTAGACATGGTCAAGACGATCTGCTGCAGTTCAAAGCGAGCATCAGAATGGGGAAGAAAGGGGATTTAAGTGACTTTGAACGTGGCATAGTTGTTGCTGCCAGACGGGCTGCTCTGAGTATTTCAGAAACTGCTGATCTACTGGGGTTTTCACGCACAACCATCTCTAGGGTTTACAGAAAATGCTCCGACCAAAGAGGAAATATCCAGTGAGCGGCAGTTCTGTGGGCGCAAATGCCTTGTTGATGAGGCCAGAGGAGAATGGCCAGACTGGTTCCAGCAACAGTAACTCAAATAAGCACTCGTTACTACCGAGCTCTGCAGAAGAGCATCTCTGAACACACAACACGTCCAACCTTGAGGCGGATGGGCTACAGCAGCAGAAGAGCACACCGGGTGCCGCTCCTGTCAGCTAAGAACAGGAAACTGAGGCTACAATTCACACAGACTCACCAAAACTGGACAATAGAAGATTGGAGAAATGTTGCTGCTCTGATGAGTCTCCATTTCTGCTGACACATTCAGATGCTCGGCTCAACAACATGAAAGCATGGATCATCCTGCCTTGTATCAGCGGTTCAGGCTGGTGGTGGTGGTGTAATGGTGTGGGGGAGATTTTCTTTGGGTCCATTAGTACCAATTGAGCATCAACGCCACAGCCTACCTGAGTATTGCTGCTGACCATGTCCATCCCTTTATGAGCACAGTGTCTCCATCTTCTGATGGCAGCAGGATAACGCAGCATGTCATAAAGCTCAATCATCTCAGACTGGTTTCTTGAACATGACGATGAGTTCACTGTACTCAAATGGCCTCCACAGTCCCCAGAGCTCAATCCAATAGAGGCGCTTTGGGATGTGGTGGAACGGGAGATTGGCATCATGGATGTGCAGCCGACAAATCTGCAGTGATGCTATCATGACAATATGCAGCAAAATCTCTGAGGAATATTTCCATTAGCTTGTTGAATCTACACCACGAAGGATTAAGGCAGTAGGGTGGTCCAACCCGGTACTACTAAGGTGTACCTAATAAAGTGGCCGGTGAGTGTATATTGGGTCAAAACAGCTGTGGCCTAGAGTACAGTCACATGATCATCACACTGCCATTGTGTTCATCATAACAATAAGCATTTGTTTCATTACGAACATCTTTATTGTACTCCCGATGGTGCCAGCATATGAATTCTCATTACCAAGTAGCAACCACCATTTCTTGCAATGGCTTCATCCAACAATTTGCCTTTATTTGCATACATGTTTATCACTTAAGTCTCAAAGCATGGTGTGAAATCTGCATGTAAATATGCATGAGCGGATGGAGCGCGTGCCGTGATCAAGATGCTTTATTTACGTCAGGCTTTTAAATGGTGTGAAAAATTCCCAGCAGCTCCTTCATTAGCATTTACTTATCAAATATGGAGATCATGTTTTTCCCTTTCAGTGCTTTAATACTTAGGAAAGAGTATCAGACGCTCTTCTGAAATGCTTCATATACTTCATATATTCACTCTTGGTCTGTTTAAGATTACAAAGAGTAGACAATATGCTTAATATCGCTGCCAAGCATCCCTATAGACCTTAAAACTGCTTTATTATGCATTGTTAATCATTGAGTATGTGCTAAAGTGGTTGAAAGTGACAGTACATAATGTAAATTAATTATTTTCTCAATAGATAATGTTCTTTTAAGCTTTCGGTTTATTAAAGAAAGCAGAAATGTTTCACAGTTTGCACAAAAATGTGAAAAAGCACCGTACATTAACATTATTATAAACGTGATTGTAACCAACGCGTTGCTTGTTGTTGGAAATTGTTAGCTAATGTGTAAATAAATGTTAACTGACAGGAATTCTTTATAGTAATGCTTGCTGGTTTTTCTTCATAAATCTTATATATTGGTTCCCATTTTATTTTTTGGTGCACAATTAGACAAGATATACTTAAAATGTATTTCTTTTGTTTTTCTATTTCATTTTATTTTTCAATTTTGTATTGTTTTGGTTTGTTTTGTATTTTATTTTAGTTTGGTTTGTTTTTTATTATTTTTAATTTAATTTATTTATTCAAATATTTATTCATTTGTTTATTCATTTTGTTTATTTGTTAGTTTAGTTTTTAATGTTTTATTACTATTATTATTATTATTATTATTATTGATATTATTAGTATTTATTCTATTTTATTTTGTTTTGTTTTGTTTTTCATTTCTTTTTTATTTTATTAATTTATGTATTTTATTTTCATTATATTGTTCTATGTTATTTTGGTCAATAAAAATGTAGTGTGAATGTGAATTGTAGTTTGTTTGTTTGTTTTGTTTTTATGTGTTTATTATTTTATTTTATATTTTATTTTTAAATCACTTTTTCTATTTTATTTTGGTTTGTTTTTT